AAACGACGCATTTTGGCAGAACATGTTGTATACTCAAATTCAGCGAGAAGGAAGATAGGGATACTTGGGGCCTACTTTAATTTGTTTAGTAATTACTTTTTTTTTTTTCCCCCTACGTCTTTCTGTATTCCTACCTAGGTGCCAATGACCCAGGGTTCTCAAGGATTGCCACAACAATCATATCAACAACCAATCATGCTACCTAATCAATCAGGTCAAGGAACACTTACAGCCACTGGAATGCCTGTCTACTGTAATGTCATACCTCCTGCCCCACAGAACAACCTACGGTTGATTGCCCCACACTGCCCCTCCAATAACGTTCCAGTTATTTCTGCCAGCTGCAGGACAAACTGTGCGAGCATTAACAATGCAGGGTGGCAGGTCAAGTACTGACACTGTGGCTTAGCGTGGATATATGAGGATAGCGGTGCATTATTTGAGAAATAACTCATGGCCTTCAAATGAAAAGGAACACAACAGGATGATCAGTTGAGGACATAAGTACTGACTATGCTCAAGTGATTTGCTGCTGGAAAAATCTGTAAAAAAAAATAAAATAAATTTTGAAAAAAAAATGTTTGCTGGTTAATGGTGCATATTTTTGTCATGTCTGCTAGGTATGCCTTTATAGCTTAGCTAGTGACATGAATTCATTGAGGTAAGATTTTTTCCTACCACTGAACACCACTGTGTAGATTGTAATATCCCCGATTCGGATTAGTTTTGTACTTTGTGTTGAGTTTGTGAAGCTAAAAGTATTTAAAAATATAATAAAATCACATTGTACCAAAGCTGTAATGGAAATGAAAAAAAAATGAAAACAAAAAAAGAATTACTGACTGGAAGGAATAATTTATATACACTATAGAGTTTTTTTATGGATATATACTGTATTGTAGTGCTTAATCACAATAAAGCTATTTGACCTCATGGAGAAAGGTCATGTTTTTACCACCTGCTTGGTCTCCTCTCTGTTTCTGAGTTGCGTGAACTTTCCTTTGGTTCTCCATTGTCTTGTTTCAGGTGAAGCTAATGGGGGAATGATGCTTCAAGGGCTTATGGGAGTTTGATGAGAGGAACAACACACCTGTGGCTTAGCATGCAAGTACCATAACAGCTTAAACCACGTAGAAATTGTAGTGTAGACACCCAGAAAGTGTTCAATGAATTATGTTCCAGGTAACTTAAACCAAGTTTGTGCTTTTCCAATCCCTAGGACCGGTAATGTCACAAACACAATTCAGCACTGCTACAGGCCTCTACTAAGTCATACCCCTTCAAGAGGCCATACAACAGTTGTATGTAAGAAGACGTAGATGTCCCATAGTTCCCACATAGATGTTCCCACTGGCTGGAAGATCAGTTGCTACTGATGTAGCAACCACAGTACCCAGAGATTCTTCTGCCACGTGGAGATACTCTACCCAATTGTCAGTACTCTAGCTATAAAGCCATTTTGCAACAGAAAGATGACAACCCAGGAATCTGGTCCATCATGTTCAAGTAGTGGGGATGGACAATGTATTTGGGAGTTTGGTTTGCCAGAAATTTTTGGAACTTTTTTTTTAATTCCTGTGATGTTTCTCATTATTGTGTCCATGTTCACTCAACTTCCCAGCTTGTTCTGATAAATTATTCTTAATTCATGAATGCTGCATGAAGTTACTCGTTCTGCTTCAATGATGACAACATTTGAGTCACAAATGTGTTTACCAGGCAAAAGCCTGTGTCGTTTTTCACTTAAGCTGCATTTTTGATCAGTTTTGAGCACCTTTAAAATAGATAGGAGTTGGACACTCCAGAATCATGCATACACATCATGAAAAAGCCCGAGATCCTTCTGTGCATAAAGTCTGTATGTGTCATAGTATGATTTTAGGTGTTCCCAAGATGGCAGCAGCCTACAAGTCCCTTGTCCGTTGTTAATCTGAATGTGAAATGGTTTTTATTTTACCTTTAAAGATGAGTGGCCTTTCCTTTACACACTGCACTGTGGAAGCAGGAACTGGGAGGGCTACAACCTGTGTTTAAAACGAACGTTTTTCTTTTCTGTACAATGAACAGATATCTTTCACAGTTCAGTCTTTTTTTTTACATATGTGTCTTAAAATGTGGAATCCAGTCCTATGGGATCATAAGAAAGCCAAATTCTGAATTTTTATGTACTCTAATCACTATTTGCTAATCACTAATTTGCTGAGAGACAGTCAAGAACATCAGCAGGTAAGTAAACACAATTCACTCTTCAATTAGAGGTGGAATGCCTTGGGAGAGCCTACTGATTGATATTTTTTTTTTCTTCCCCTTTTTTAAATCAAGATACTGCATTTGAATTTTGCCTGTGACCCTGAGCTCTCGTTTCAGATGCCCTGCGTTGTATGGTTTATCTCCTTTAAATGTTTTATATACAACGGAGGTTTCTCTCCTAGCATTACTATAATTACGGATAATTGGGTTGGCTGCTGCCGAATGACTGACAGCTGAGTGAACGGGTGTCCTTCTCTGCCAAGGCTCCAGAGTCCCGCAGGACGGACCCGCAGGTCACCTTGCCCAGGACAGGTCGTAGGTAGCCAGGCTGAAGGAGAGAGGAGGGAGGGTGAATCTCTGCGCCCGCATCTCTGGAGTGAAGAGACCCCTTGGTATTTAAGTCCTGTTTCTTTTCTGAAGCGCTACTGGTACTTTATTGATCTTCCTTCTCGGCAGAGACCTACGAATGAATTGCCTGGTAAAAAAAAATAATCCGCTCTCAGCATCATAGGTTGGTGGAAGCTGGGCTATACTGTAGATGTAATGATGGGGAAGGGAGTCAAAAAGCAAAGCCTAGGAATCTTGCTTCTGTAAAGAGAGCATCTCCTCATGCCCTCATGCCACGCTTGGTCATGTCCCCTTGGCAAACGGCGTATCCCACGACTGACCATGGCCGTGACTTCCCATGCCGTGCCTGTCTCTGCCAGTTCAGTGACCAGTTTGTGTCAGTCACGTCCGTGGCTGTGGGAGCAGGGGTCCCGCTGACCGATTCTCTCGGCCCTGTGGCCACAGCACCTCCCCGCACATTAATGCCCCTTCCTGCTCCGAGGAGGCTTTAACGTTTTACGTAAAATTGAGCAGTTTCAGAGGGGGGTCGCAGCTACACCCACGTCAGAATGGCCTACATCCTCTGATTGTCTCGCCCTGCAAAGAGTTTGAATCTCCTTAGGCACACAAGGAAACTCAATTTGATCTCCCTCAGCTATGGAGAATGCCCTAATTATTAAGGTATCGTATACACGGGGGAGACATTTCACGTGGTGGTGCACGTATTTGCTTTATGCCAGTAGAATAATTTATATTTGAAGATGACTATTATCTAATTTTGTTTTTTTAATCATACAATGTTTTTAAGTCTTTCTCCTAAACTTTTTGTTCGCTAATAAAAATATTCTTAACTGGATTGCTTAGCAGCCTTCTGCTATTAAACCAGAGATGTTTCAGCATTGTCAGAAGGTGAGGAGGAGGAAAAAAGACGTGACCTGCAAATACATATAACAAAAATGGGTAGGTGAAGCTCAGTGCTTTTTTTTCTCAATCCTTTGAAATATTTTGTAGGCGATCTCCGTAAGAGGACTGCTCTTAGACTCACCTGGCCAAACTTAGTTCAAGCCACTCAGCAGTTGGTCACCTTGGATTCAGAGTCCAACGCGCAGCAGTGAAACGATTTACAGGAGATGTTCCTCTCCTGGGGGGCTGCCCTGTCACTTGGTTTTCTCCGATCTTCCCCTGGAATTCGGCAGGCTCAGGCAGCTGCTCTGTGTGTGGTGCTAGGGACTGTGTGTTGTGTTTTCCCTTTACCTGCTGCATACTCGCTTTGGTAGTTGTATATTGCTGGCTCCTTCTTTTTTATATTCTGAAGCTGATGGAAAGTTGTCCCAGGGCCCCATACATGTTTAATTTGCCACTGTTGTTTTAATTTATATTATACAGAGAAACCAAAGAGGCATATCCTGAGTTAAGCTGACTGCGTGAGATTACACTGATCAGTCTTTTGGATTAGTCTAATTAATTCGAGCTGTAATTTGCAGAGGCTGTACATCCTAACCGAAGCCAGATGCCATTTGCTGTTGTTTTGCCCTTTGTGCTGCCCAAGAAGTCCATGATTTCCTTCTAAAACCGTATTGCCTTATGTTTCTGTTTAACTCTGTGTGAACAGCCTCCTGTGCCGAAGGAAGACTCCATAAATTATCCCAGCAGCCAGGAATGGAAATGTGCAGGGAGGCTGTAGCGTGCCCAGAGCATCTTTCTCTCTGCCCCGTTAGCTGCTCCGTAGTGAGTCAACCTGCCCTGGCACGGCCGTGGAGTGCTTCAATGCGATTGTTTCACTGGCGTTCCCAAAGACGATGCAAAATGCAGCACCGCTCAGCATCCTTTCCGCCCTCCCGTTCACAAGGCTGTTGAGCTGTGGCATGCCTTGTCCCTTTGGGCTGACTGCAGAGAAACCAGTTTCATCCCTTAACAGTCAGTGGAGAGGTTCTGGTGGAGGGCGATGCCTCCTCAGGGCTGGGAGCTTTGGCTTGCTGTCTCCCAGAACTCCTCTCTTGACGGGCAAGGAAGAGAAAGACGAGTTTCCTTAGTTTTCAGGAATATGCCACTCACGTTTAGCTCAGAGATGATGCTTTAGAAATGCTCACAGCTTCAACACCTGCTTAGCTCATGTTGTCTAAACTTACATCCTGGCGTAGGACATCACCATTTAGACTTAGGCAGTGGCCAACTTAGGGCAAACACTGAGCCAAGCTCTGACTAGTGCTTCGACAGCAATCCTACGACCCTCAAGCGCTACTCAAAGCTGCGTGGCAGGCAACAGAAACGCCTTGAGTGTTTTGGAGGGGAAGAAGCCTCACTGTGCGCACATCACCTGCGCCTACCATAATATGGGTGATGCAGCAGTTTTGGGGATGCCTGCTCCCAAAACAGGGTAAAAGATCCCCATTTCTAGTTGAATTTCTGCCCCTGGTTTGTTGTTGGAATTGGCTGTCTTCCCTGCTGGTTCCTTTCATTCTTCAGAAAAAGTGGATGTAACGAGCCTTTGAGGCAGTGGACTGATGATTAAATAACTAATGCCAGACAGTGTTTCTGAGGATGGTTGGCCCAGCATTCAGTGAGTGGCATGGACTATTGCTGTACTGCTACATGTTTTGCAGAGTTCAGCTTTGGGTTGAATACTGCTAAAAATACTGCTTTCCAGTGCACATAAGAGGGGGAAATCAAACCCTGCTCTTCTGGCTCTTTTGTCAGTGTCCCACCAACTGTGGAAGGGGATGACTCCCCATTACCTCTCCTGATACAAGGACAAGGGGACGTAAGAAAAAAAAATAAAATTGCTCATTAAAGCAGCAGTCTCCAAACAAACAGAAGAGCTCTTTTTCCCCCATAAAGTATATAGACAACCTGTGGCGTTCCTTGCTGCGGGATGTTACGTGAGGTTTCAGAAATGGGTGGACAAGGCCAGAGAAGCCAGTTTTACGGAAGGCTGTTAAATAGCGGCAGCCAGTGTCTCATTCAGAGAGGCAGGGAAGAGCCTAAGGAAATGTCACCGTATCATTGCCCCAGTCTTAAACCTTTCCCCAGACACTCTTAGAGATGAGTACTGGACTGGGGATGGACGTCTGTCCTGAACGAATAGGGCGAGTCCGTAAAGCAGTATTTGTTACCCAATCCTTAATAAGCAAATAATAAAAATATTTGGTATCATCTGACAAAGTCCATCCTTTAACAAAACCGGTAAGGCCCAGAAGGAGGAGGTGAGGCTAACCTTGGGTTCATTTTCTGCACTTTGTTTAGTGTCAGGTGCCCCCGACTGCATGAGTACCTACGGCTGGCCTTACACAGCTGCTTGTTCTGCTCTTCAGAGTCGGATGTAATACCCTGCTGGGGGTGAACCAAACCTCCCAGTGGGAAGTGCCTCATGATCTTCT